AAGCCTGAGCTTCAGACTTTAAAAAAAAGTTTCTTTAAAAGGTTCATGCATGTTTCTGAATGCTGCCCATCCCTAGCTTCCAGTCCATTTGACTTGTCTCCTACTTGCTGAGGGAGCTGGGCTGCCTCCAGTTTCCCACCTCAAATAACCCCGACCCCCACCCTCGAAAACCCAGATACCCACCAAGACACCTCCAGACAACCCAGCTAGCCCCCCAGGCACCTCGAGTCACGGGTCTGCCCTTTCCCCCACCGCAGCACGCCTTCCTTCCTATGGCTTTTCAGGGTCCCCCACCATCCTTTTCAATAATGACTTAAGAGTTCATGGCCTGCACTTGTCCGTGGACATCTTGGAGGACTGGGGAAAACAGGGTCCATGCTGTGTTGAGTCACCCCTCCTTGAACGCAGCATATCCTGCACTCATGCACCCCTTTGTCTCCTGCCGTGGAATCGCAGTGACTTCTCCATGAAGCCTGGTGGCACCGCTTTGCTGTCATTTCCTGCTCACGTCATGGTTGATGCTCCTCTGTAAGCGGAACCCTGCTTTCTGTTTTTCAGTTGGTCAGTCTGGTACAGAGGAACACTGCTGGTCTTGATGTGATCTCAGAGTTGGAGTGTGATGTGGCATGGCAGCATGGCCACTGGAGCACTGTGGGTGCACGATGAATGCTGGTGGAGTGTGCGCATGTGGTCCAGCACGCTCCGGGAAGCCGCCAGCAGCTGCCCTCTCATCGAAGGCCACCCCTGCACCGACACTGCAGCAGCCCCCTCGACGCTGTCCTCGACCCAGAGGGGCCTGGATGGGGAGGGCTGAAGCCGACGTCCTCGGTGCCACCCTGGACCCCAGCCCCTTCCCTCGCCCTCGCCCTCACCCAGAGAGTGCTGGGGCAGGGGTGGAGCGCGGGGGCCACGCCACAGTCTGGAGGGATACACTCCCAAATCCGCCTCCGGGGAAGGACAGCATTGGGAGAGCAGCTTGTCCTCTCCCGCGGCAACACACTCACACGTGCCTTTTGACACATGGATTGCAAAAGGTTGAGTGACTCTGCTATAGCAAAGCTTTTATTCTCGTCTCTACTTACGTGAAGTTTTATCAGCTCTCATATCAATGAAAGTGAAAAATAGAAAAAAAACAACGTCATGTTGAGTCCTATCCCATTTCAGCCCTAAGTGATATTCTCCCACCAAGACGGACAGCTCATTAACTGATGCATTTTCAATTTTACTTCCATGTTTAGTTCTCCATGAAAATTTGCAAATCTGTGCATCACTGATTAAGTACGTACTTAACGACTCGGTAAGAACCACCCAGACCAAGTTCTTGTTACCAGGTTCAGGGCCCCTCAGATTAAGGCCAAGGACCCCCTGGAGGTGCTGTGTGTGCTCCTCTGGGAGAAGCAGCCGAGGTGGCGACAGGCCAGGCCAGGTGGCGCTGCAGGACCTGCAGCCCCGCTTCTCAATGGCATGAAACAGCACAGGATCATTTCATCCCACACCTGGATGGCAGGTGGGCTGGGAGCTCTGTTCCAGTCCTCTCTGGGGACGGGCAGCCACCACCCCCGGGTGGCCAGGCACCTGGTGGAGGACCTGGAGCCGGCAAGCTGGTCTGCTTGTCCCCTTTGTCACTCCTGCGGGCGCGTCTCTCGCCCGGCAGGGCCATGTGCCCAGGAGGGGAACACACTGTGCTGCCCTCAAACTTCAACCCAGTGTGTTCTACACCAGGGGCAGCCCTGTGGGCGAGGCTCTGCAGGCAGGAAGAGTCCGCACAGCGCCCAGCCATGAGGGGACAGCTTGCCTTTTAAGTCCTTTTTAAGTGGACGAGGGTGAGTGCCAGTCACAACGGCATTCTGGTTGCCCCAGACACACCAAAAAGGCTGCCATACTGCTGTGCTTTACGATGCAGCATTTAGAACATGTTGGGGATGCACAGCTTTAAAAAATTGAGAAAAATTTTGGAAACTTAAAAACAAGTGATGGGATAAAGTTCTCAAGTTCCTTTGGGGGATCTCCAAACACAAAAGTGAACCAACCCAAGTGGGGCCTCAGCTGCCTGCAGGAGCCTCTTCCCTCTGCTCCCCAGGTGTCCATGCTGGTCTGGGTGGCTTGGACTCCACAGACTCTGACCTCTGAGGGCAAGCCCCATGCACTCTGGCCCATGGTCAGCAGCACTTGGCTTGGTCACTGGCCTCTCTCTCCCCTCCTCCAAAGGTCACACAGCGGCCCCTGCCTGTTCTGTGCCCTGCCCAGATGCATGGCACCCTCCTGCCCCAGTGCAGGGGGCAGCCCAAGTTCTGCACAGAACCCCGCTGCCGGGCCTCTTGTCACCCTGGACACACCTTTGGGTCACTGCTTCGGTGTCCTCTGGCCTGGGTGCCAGCTCAGCACCCACTGCCCACAGGACCCGGCTGTTCCTCCCTGGTATGTGGCACTGCCTACCTCCCCAAGGTGTGCCCCACACCTGCCACCTCTCCCGGGCGCTGGGACATCCAGTCACCAAGGCCAGAGCCAGGCCAACAAGCTGCGTACAGGGCTGCGGTGCGGTCATAGTCTTGAGGGACGTGCGGGCAGAGCCCTGTGACCCCCAGCACTGGACATGCAGTCTCAGGGCTGGTGGAAGTTGAGACAAATCCTGTCACAAACCACCGAGGGTGGAGGGGGACCTGGCCATGTGCTCAGCCAGCACTGGTTCCCTCCCCTAGGGCTCTTCGGGGCTCCACTGGTCACCAGTTGATATCAGAGGTCTGCTCCCCGAGACTGCTCAGGGAGGGAGGCATGGGACGGTGGAGGGGGCTGGGCTGGGCCACAGCCACGGGGAGACCAGGGGGGGCCATGCACGGAGCGGGCCGTGGGGTTCAGACTGAGGGGGAGGGCGGCACCCTGACTTCCAGAGACTCCGCCGGGGGCAAGAGGCTGCTCAGGGCAACCTGGCCACCATCCTGGGACTGCCACGCTTGCGGCCAAGGGCGAGCATTTCCCGAAGCACCAAGACCAGAGTCTCCACACGTTCAGACCAGCCACCAGCTCTGTTTCCGGGTCCAGCCCCTCCCTGGCTAACTGACCGACAACAGCCATTTGTGGCGGGCCTGCAGGTGGGAGAGCAGCAACCCTCACCCTACGTGGGAGCCAGTGTGGCCGGGCTGGGCCACCGGGGCCTCAGCTTCCCACCTGTGGGCCAGCAGATGGCATTTCCAGTGTTATGGCTACCAACAAAGGGACAGGCCGTGGGGTCCTGAAGGGGCCTCAGGACCCCATGTGACACCCTCTGCCTTGTCCCTCCCGCCGCGCCCTCCACCTGTGCGGGACACCGGGCCAGGTGGGCAGGGTGCTGACCCCTCCCTGGGCAGCCTCCAGGGCCCCAGGCTTCGCGTGGCTAGCACGTTAACGGAAGGCTGGCTCCAGTGCCAGCAGGGACCAGAGGTCACGGGGAACCATAATCAGCCTCTGGCACGGACGCGTCTGAGGTGGAGGCCACACAGTGAGCCACTCGAGGGTTTATTTCAGTGATGGAGTAGCTGCCCAGGGGCAGGCGCCGGCTGGCACGCAGGGCTGACAGCAGCATGAGCAGGCGGCAGGCTTGGGGCCTCCTCGTGGCCAAGGCTGTGGGATAAGGCGCGCAGCAGGGGCTGCAGCACAGATGGCGGTCCCTGGGGGGAGGGGCGACAGGCCCTGGCCCTCCTTTACGGGCAGTCCTGTCCGGCCCCTCAGGGACTGGCTCTGGTTGGAGGGGGGCCTCACACGGCTGCAGACACAGGAAGGCCAGGGGCTGGTGAATAGGGCTCCCCATGGCGAGCACCGCAGTGGGCTGGGGCTGGCCCCCCTCCCCAACGTGGTCCGAGGGGCACCAGAGTTATTTGTGAAGCTGTGTGGGCAGGGGAGACGCTGACCCCAGATGTCATCTGGATGGAGAGTGGCCGCCGCAGCCCATGAGGCCAGACCCTGCTCCGCCCTGCAAGGCCGAGGGTGGGCCTGGGGAGCAGGACCAGCGTTCACCCTTTAGGGAGACGGAAGGGCTCACTTCTGCAGGGACTGCAGCTCCGGCGGCAGGTTGCACCCCGTGTAGACACCATTTGTGATGCTGTATTCCAGCAGGGCGCCGAAACAGGGATCCTGTGCAAACAGAGGACCTGGCCTTGCACCCAGCAGTGCCCCGCTGGGACCCCCGCCCCTGGGCCCACTGGCCGCAGCTCACTCTGACAAGAACGTGAGGGTTTCCCAGCACAATCAGCAAGGCTTTGGGTCTGGTGATTGCAACATTAAATCTTTTTGAGTTGGACAAGAATCCCAAAAAATATCTATCATCTTCAAAGCTATCTTCATTTGACCGTACCTGAAACACACAAAGATTCATAAAAACAGTGTTTTAAATTTTTTGGCAAGGAAAGAAACTCGATATATACAAACATTTAGAAATGTGACATGTGACCCCATTTTGGCTAAAAAGAGAAAAAAGCAGCGGGGGCAGGGTGTGGGCCTCACTACACTCAAGCAGAGCCTCCAGCACTGGGAGCTGACCTGGGCGTTGGGGTCTTAGCCACGCTGTGTTCTTTCCCATGTCAATTTCCTAACCTGTCTGCGGTTAATGTGTACCTTTTGATAAAAGTCATTTATAAAAGAAGAATGGACTTTTGAGAGTCTGCCCCTCTCCCAGCCACACCCCACTGCAAGGTCCCCTCCCTCCTCCCATGATTCACTACTGCCTCATGGATTTCTTTACTTCTTTGTCTGATCTTTTTTTTTTTTTTTTTAAGAACACCTGACAGTTAGCTGCTTGAGGCGCCGCCTAGGTCTCCCCTGCTCTGTGTCACCGAGGGCAACAGAGGGCCCAGCACGCCAGGCAGCCTGGCGCAGACAGTGCCCCACGGGGCAGGAATACCTACAGTTGAGATGATGATGACCAGATATTCTTGCCCCTGAAACTCCTCCACAGATCCAACCTTTATATCTGTCAGATCAACATTTCGCAAAAGAACTTTGATTTTCTCCACCTTTGAAGGCAATAAAGAGATCGAAGACAAAACTTTACAAATCTGACCGGTTCTTTACACATCACAGCACAGGCTGAGTGCACGGCCTGTCAATTCCAAGTCATGTTTCATCAGCTCTAAGTGGACCAAAGCAAAGCCCCATTTCGGAAGGAGTGCCTGGGGCGGGGCAACACCTCCGTGGAGATGCCCCCCTCTCCACGGGATGGGTGCACAGTAGTGGGGGGGGTGCTTTGTAGAGAAGTGCAGACACCCTGTGCTGTGAGTGGGGAGACGTCCCCTGGGGATGGTGCTGGGTCCCGGACTGCCTCCTGGGGTGAGGAACAGAGAGCCCCTCCCAGGGTCCTGCCCTGGGGTCCTGAGCAGTTAAGATGGGAGTTAGGCTGTGTGGTGACTACAGCAGGAAAGCCAGGAGGAGGAAGACTAGGGGAGAGGTCCTGAAGGCGGGGTAGCTGACGAGCTGAGCAGGACTTGGGGCTGGGAGAGGGTGTGTTAGGATCTCCAGGGGTTGCCGGTAAAGAACCACTTTGAAACTGAAAAGGAGCATGTACTTGGCTGAACACTCAGCATGGAGGGAGGCTCAGTTCTCCCAGGAGAATGGGCTGGGGGTCGGGAGCCGTGCGGAGGGAAGGCACCAGCGGTGCTGCCCTCACCACCGTGGGGATGGGCCTTCTCATGCCCAGTGACCGGGAACAAAGGCAGAGGTCACCCTCCATGCCCCGGGCCCGGCCCCCAGCACAGGAGGAGCGGCTGTGCAGACGCAGGGGAGGGAGCAACAGGAGGGGACTGGGCGCCACCTCAAAGAGCCATGTCCCTCTCCTTCCTGGACCCCACGGACAAGCACACATGAGAGGAGTCGCGGGGGCCGCACCTGCTTCCGGTAGGGCGTGATGACCCCAATGTCGCTGGCGGACACCTGGCTGGAGACACTGCGGGCCAGCAGGCAGCAGTAGCGCATGGCCTGCACGGCCTCGGCAGGGTTGAACCAGGACGGGCTCCTCCCTTCCCGAGCTTCGCTGCCCTGGGCATCGGGGACAAGAGGCGTGTCACAGAGGGCTGCCCTCCACAGAAGCTCGCCCAGGGTCTGTGGACAAGGAGCAGCTGGCAGAGACAGGAGAGCCCTGCTCCCAGGCCAACTCTCACAGCCTCAGGCTGCGGAGACGCTGCGGGCGGGAGGCCCGGCCAGACCAGAGCGGCCTGGGTGGCGGCAGGCCAGCTGACACCTACTGGGCCGCAAGTGTTCAAAAGCAAAATTTACAGGCCATCACTCTTGATCAGAGCCTGATGAAATTAGAAATGAAAGAGACTGGAACCGAGCAGAAGCCTCTCACAGAGGGGCGCCTCAAGTATAAAGGCCCCTCTGTGGCCCCTGCCTCTTGTTTGTGGAAAAGCTGAAGCCCCCCAGGCCTCCCTGAGCCACAGGAGGGCAGGCTCGAGCAGGTCAAGACTGGACAAGAGTCACAGACACAGGGTCCGGCGCACGTTCTGAGTCGTTTTACAGGCACTGCAGCTGCCACCAGAGAGGAGAGCTGCCTGCATGACGACCAGACTCCAGCCAGGACAGCAGCTGCCCCGCTGCAGTGGGACCGACTCTACGGCAGCACAGGTCCAGGCAGTGCCCCGAGAGCGCGGGGTCCCCGCTGCTGCTCACGAGCGCCCACGTCTGCATGGGCGCCAGAGGAACTGCAGCTCGGTCCGTTCGTACAGCTCGTACACGTAGGCGGCCAACTACAACTGCCACAGAGAGAGGCTGCAGGCCCAGGCGGACATCCTCCTCTCTGGGAGCACGGTGCCCGCCCGGGGTCAGCAGGGGGAAGTCACAGAAGACGACCCCGCCCTAGTCCCGCAGAAGTGGAATGATGTCACACAAGCAGGGATTTGCAAGCAGCTTTCGGCAGGACAGAGATCTCAGCAGGAGGCCCCTTCGTTCTGTCACTTGAGCTGCACTGTCACTAACCTTAACCCAGGCGTCCCACGCTCTACTCACCTCCGGCCCAAACACCCCTAATGGGTCAAATGTTTTGCTCACACAACACCTGGCCTAACTTATCGGTTCTCTCCCAGATCAAAGAAGTAGAAATGGAGAATAAGTCATTAACAGATGACCAGATCTCCCCGGCTGCGCCTTCTGTGATCCCACGACCAGAATGTGTGACCGAGACGGTGTCCAGAGAGAAGACCGTGAGACGTCGATGTGCCGGCACCGTGGGAGTGGCTGCGGGTCTGCCCCTACCTCAGTGACTCGCTGAGGTCACTTCTCCTTCTCCCTTTAATGCTCATGGCCGAGCAGAATCCTAGCAGTTGGTTTTCGGGGACATGAGTCTGCCTTCTCCCCAGATTGCTGGCTTTCTGATTAAAAGCAATGTTTTCTGTTTCTACTGACATTTGCCTCTCGGGTACTGAATTGTGAGTGGCCAGCTGCCAAATCTGAGTTTGGTAACACGGTGACCAAAATATTCTTGGCCACATGGAAAGTGAAAAAATGCTTCTCTAGAACCCTTGGCTCAAAAAAAAGAAAATAAAGTCACAGGTGTCCAGAGGGCATGGGCCCCAGGCGCTCCTGTCGGGGGACAAGGCATCCATATCTCAGGGGAACCACAATAAACTCAGTGAAGACAAGCAAGTCAGGGAGCAGAAGGATGAAAGACGAAGCTGAGACTAATGAGGCAGAGGGCCAACAGGAAACATCCGGAAGTCCACAGCTAGCTTTCCAATTAGGCCAGAGGCGGGGCCTCTGTCCTGGGAAGGGCCAGGCGGCCAGTGTCTCAGCTCTGCTCCGATCACGCTCCCCTTAGGACAAGACCACAGCTGCCTGGACCCTCCTTGGGCGATCCTGGGCTCAGCCGCTCCTTCTACTGGGCACCCTCTGCCCAGACACACTGGGCTGGAGACAGAGCAGTGAGTCAGACAGGGGTCCTTCTGGAACTCTGGAGGAGGGAACGCCTGGATGGGAGGGTTTCTGCCTGTCTGATGTTGCCTCCTGGGCAGGGCGCCCGCAGGATCCAGGGCCAGCAAGGCCGGGGGTTAACTCAGAGCCAGCTAACAACCCACAACAAAGCCCTTTTTGGTCAAATGTGGGAGTGGATCCTGTTCTCTGCAACTAGCCCCAGAGGCCTAACCCTCACTTTGTCCTCAGGGCCTAGAACGGAGCTGGGTACAGTCCGGCCCTCGAGAAATTCTAAATAAAATAGTATTTCTGGACTTCATTCTTTTCACACTGAGCACCTCCATCTCCCGCAGCTTTGAGTCTCCATTCCCTTCTACAAAACCTTTTGCACATCTACAACTCCACTTTCTCAGCAATCAGCCTACTGAGACTTCTGTGTAGTCTGCATGAAACACACGGACTGATTTGGGCAGAAGTGACCTCTTCACCACACGGGCCCCGCATCCAGGAGCGCCCGTGCGCATCTGAGCTCCTGCTCTCAGGAGAGGCCTTCGACTTTCTGCTGCTAGGGGGATCTCTGATGCCCCCACTATGCTTTCTGGTTGTTTTTTTCTGAGATAGACGGAAGCCCTGAGCAGAAGCTGAAAGAGAGGGTTCCCGGAGGGAGGAAGAACCAGCCAGCGGGGGCCTCATGCCGAGTGGACCACGTCCAGTCTCACCACAGAATCCCTTCCCTCAAAGTCTCTCCCATCCAGATGGTGGGCACCCCATGGCCGCACCTTACACACAACCCCAGGTAAGTCCAGAAACTGTCCCCAGGAAGCAGGCTGCAGAGAGGAGAGGGGCAGACCCCACTCCAGGGCACCCTGGCACCAGTGTCCATTGTTCTGGAGTCTGGATGCAGCCCCAATTCTGCATGAGAACTTGCAAACTTGACTTCTGGTTCTAACAACCAAATTCCAACACAAACTCTGATTTTAGGGAATATTTGTCATTTTTTGGCTACCGGGCATCTAACCCCTCCCTGTGGGGAACCCCACCCTGTGAGGCCTGGCGGGAGGACAGGCTCTGCCCCAGTGCGGGTCCATCCCCTGGACACTGGTGCATGGGGTGGGATGGCAGGGGCTTCCTTGGCCCTCCTGCTCACCTCCCAGGTCCCGACCAGCCCCAAGAGCTCCCTCAGGAACCCCTCCGGACCTGTCCGGACCCCTCATGGGCAGTCACCGCACCAGAGGCACCCAGCAAATGCTTGGTTTATGACCAGATTAAATGGAACCCACGCACTGAACACACGTAAACTTGTGAGCAGCACTGAGGGGCCGCTCAGGGCTGAGCGCTTCCCCTGGCCTGCCCTCCAGGTCCACTGCTCACCCTCACTCCGTGGAAGACAAGGGGGAAGCCCTTCCGCGGTAACTTCTCCCAGCCCAGCAAGGACGTCACCACTGTGGGGTCCGCGCAGACTTCAAGCTCCCGGTGGTAGAAGAGCCTGGACGGCAGGGCCAGCAGCACCGAGTGGGACCGATAGTTCTTCACGAGCTTCGTCACCTGCAGGGCGGAAGGGGCAGGTCCAGGGCCAAAGCCGGCCTGCTGCGGCCACATGGAAAGTGCCCCGTCCCCCTCAGTCACAGCCGGGAGGCCCCTGCTGCCCCCATCTCCCGCCTGTCACCTCCACCTGGCGAGGACGTGCACTTGGAGCCTCCGACAACTTCACTTTAACAGAAAAGGAGGGAGTCTCCCTGGGGGGCTGCGTGTCTGGCTGCAAGCTGTGCTCTGGTTCACAGGCTCTGTGGCAGCAGGTGCGGGCTCGGGCCTCAGCCAGGGTGGCTAGAGGCACGGCCCCAGCCCTGACCCTGTGGGCTGGGTGGGACCTTCGGAGGGGCTGGGGATGAAGTTACCAGGACACGGAGCAAGAACAACTTTGTTTTCTGCCTCCAACTGACCGGAAGCTCATTCTAGTTTCCCTCTAGAGCCCGAGATCCAGGGCTCTCCTGCTGACTCAGGGTGATAAACTTCAACTCAGTAATTTTAACACATCCAGTCTCTAAGACGTTCATCAAACCCCAAACCCGATCCAGCATCACAGCTTCTCCCTTGGCTGAGCCAGGCCCTGCAGTGCTAGTCTGCCCACCTGCCTCCGCCACAGGCTGTGTCTCCGTGTCCTGGGACAGAGGAGCGGGGAAAGAGCCCGACCCACCCTGGGGGTGGTGGCAGAGAGGACCAGGGGCTGCTTGGGCCTCTGGCCCCATGCGTGTCTTGGTGGACACGGCGTGAGCTCCGTGGTGGGCCCCTCGGCTCAAGTCTGACCTTACAGCAGGGGGCCGAGCTCACCAACAAGGGGTTGTAGGCGCCACAGGCCCCAAAAGCGTCTTCGTCTCGCATATAGGCCGGTCGGGACATCAGTCTCTCCAGCATGGAGACACTCAGCCCGTAGGCCATGGCCAGCCTGGACTTGATGACTGGCCCGAGCTGCATGGGGTCTCCGGCAAGGACGATCTGTGGCACAGAAACGGGGCCCACATTGGTGCAGGGAGACCCCACCACGGTCAGGTGGGTGAAGGGGGGCTGGGTGGGCAGGACACGGAGTGTGATGGGCTGGCCTCCCGCCCTGACTGCCCAAACCAGGGCAGCTGGGAGGCAGGAGTGCAGCTGCACAGTCACTCGGGCTGCAGAGGACAGGAACGCAGCTGGGACAGGGACAGCCCAGTGGAAAACATCAGTGGACTGGAGCCCTGAGCTCCCGGGGGGCAGACCCCACCCTGACCCCCCACTTGGCAGCCTCCGTTCCCTTCCCTTCTTCTGGAATTCTCTGCTGCGCCCTCCTCTCGATGCTGCCCTGGCCCCGCCCACCCTGGCAGCTCGCTGGCCTGCTCCTGGCTCCTGCCCTGTGTGCAGGCTCTGTGGTCACAGCGGAGGAGGTGGGGAGGCTGGTGTGTGACAGGAGGCTTCTCGTGCCCCAGGCCCTTGGTCAGCCTGTGTGTCCTGTGCAGTGGATGGGGTTGGGGGTGCAGGGCTCCACCGCCGAGGGAGGGAAGATGACGCGCAGCACGCGGGCTGTACCTGGCCAGTGATGTCCGAGACCAGCCCCAGGGGGATCAGACACTCCGGCTCGCTCGCCTGCCCCGCTTCGTCCACGAATACGTGTGTGAAATGTCCGACCCTAGAGCAGACGCCTTCCTAGTGGTCGCTCCCGTCCAAGGGTCCTGGACAGGCGCCCGCCACCTCTGCCCCTGTCCCCCCTGCAGGGCACCCCCTCCCCCGGTGGGCCCCTCCCAACGCTGGCGAGCGCCCACCTCAGCCCTATCTGGTAGAAGAGCCCCGCGCTGCTGCACGTGGTGATGACGACCCTGAAGCGCGAGGCCCTCCAGACGTCCTCCCCATCGCGGCAGTAAGGCTTGATGGCCTCTGTGATGGTCTGGGGAGCAGGTCACCAGCAGGTCATTAAGTCTTTTTAAACTGGGCCCGATCGCAAGGCTGGGAGGGCTCCTGAAACGGCGTCCTGTCCCGCTGCACGTCTTAGTCACCACCAAGGACAACGTAAGACTGTCTTCTCAAATCAAAATAGTTTACATTTCCCTATCAATTTAGTCCGTGTGTTACCAACCCTAGAGCTGTGAATATAACACAAAACCCTGTAGATCCTTCCCCAAAACAACTTTATACATTTTCAAGGTTCAATTTCCCTTCTTAACCAAACCAGGACCTTTTATAGCAAACCAGCGAAACAGAACCAAAAACAAACAATACTGTTTGGGGGTCCAGTGAAAGCGGAGCGTCAGTGTCAGGGAGGGCGCGGGCTGCTTGCTTACCTCCTCGAACCGGCAGGTGGCGTTCATGCGGACCATGGCTCCAGGCCGCAGCGCCTGGCTCTTGTGCAGACGCAGACACACGAGGTCGGCAGCGCTGTTGGACGGCGCGCACACCAGGGTCCGACTGTCCGGCAGAGCGTAGAACACCTTTGTGCAGACACGCAGGAGACAGGCAGGAGGGTCAAGCGGCCCGGGCCAGCCCGCCGTGGGGGAAGGCAGAGACCCTGGCTCTCCAGACCTGAGTAGTCCAGGGGGGGGCCCCAGGCTTGTGCCCCAACACCTGCCAGCTGGTGGCAGTGCAGGCGTGCGGACCCAAATCCCAAACCATGCAAACAATGGACACATGCCACCGCCAGACTCTGCGTAAACCCTGATGGGGGCACGGAACCCCTGCTGCAGTCCGCCACCCTGAGCACCAAGGGGGTTCCCTTCTAACCTTTGACACCAGCTCTCAAACCCTAAGCAGCCGCAGGACAAAACAAACTTCTCCAGGTATGAAGTAACTGGGGCTCCTTGAGCTCTTCCCACGTTCCGACCCCGCAGGAGACGGTGGCCCACGGCATAGCTTCAGCCACCGCAGCACCCCACCGGCACCCCCTGCTCTTCCCGGCTCCCTCCCTGTCCTCCCTCACTCCCATCTCACCTGTAAAACAGCCTCTATTATTGTCACTGTCTTCCCGGTTCCAGGAGGCCCAAAGAGAACGTAAGGGAGTGGGCGGCAGTCACCACTCAGAATCCTCCTCACTGCTAACTTCTGGTTTTCGTTGAGCATCAAATTGAAAAACTCCTTCTCTCTGGCTTTTGGGGTCTTGCCAACTGCATCAAAGCACAGACAGCGTCAGGGCCAGTCACAGGACACGCAGCTGCACCGCCCAGGGGCGGGGATGGATGGGTGCGTGTGGGTGCGCGTGTATGTAGCTCTGACCACCGTGAGGCAGGCCCCTCACACCGTCTCGGCCTCATCCTGCAGAGTCCGGAAAGTCCACTTTCTAAGGGCAAAAACGCAGGCCACGCCGTTCCTTCTCTCCACCTTACCCGCGCAGCGTCACCCAGGACGCAGAGACACCGTCACAAGCAGGAGGACAAAAACAGCCCATCATCAGGAAGTCGTCAGAGACAAGACGTCTCCGCTCCGCCTGGCTGCGCGGCTGTCAGAACACCCCCCTCCAAGCCTCACTTCCAGACGCAAGTGCCAGCTTCTCCAGAGGCTCCACGGCCCCGACACTCACCCAGACCGCTTGCCTGCGCGGCACCGGCCTGCCGCTCCTCAACTCCGACCTGAGCTGGGTCCCTCGTGGCTTTCCTACCCTAGGAATGATCGTGCAGAAAAATGGCTTCAAAAGCAAGCTGTGTCCACACAGGCTTAAAGTGTAAATCTAAACAATCACGAACATCCTGCTTGTTTGATTTACTCAACAGCCCTCTGCCCAAGTCGCAGGTCCTACCTTTTAAGACATAACGAAAATGAAGAACATGTAACAAAAACTGCCAAGAAGATTTCTTTCTACCCCTTTAAAAAAACCTAAGTTTTGTGACGATGACACTGAAACAAAGGACTCCATTTGGCTCCAGGGTGTCGTCTCCTCCCGCATCCTTCCACATGGACCCTGCTCGCCTGCGGGGAGACCCTCCTCCGCCGTGTGCAGGACCCCGACAGCCCGTGCGAGGACAAGCAGAAGCTCTCGGCCTCGCAGGTGAAGCCAGGTGCCAGTGCTGCGGCTTCCTCGCCGCGCTCCAGCCCCGCACAGGAGCTGGTTTTATGTGTGTTTAAACATAAACAGAGTCTGCCCTGGACTGACAGAACCGGTTTCCCAATTTCCCGTTATAAACAAGGCCGTAACAGGCTACTCTGTGCATTTATCTCTGTGAAATCACGAGATTACTTCCACAGGATAAATTCTAGAAGTAAAATTGCTACATTGGAAGTTTTCACATGGAAAATTTTAGACATGTCATCAAATCTGATTCCCGGAGGTCACAGCAGTTACCCTCCACCACCGTCTGAGTTCTGCAGAGTGCAGGGGACATTTACTGAGGTGGGCACGTTCCACGTGTACAACCGGACCCATGACCCTGTCACCACAAGGACACGAATGCATCTCTCGAGGCCGAGCCCCTTGAGCTCCCTACTGCTGTCACACAGACTGAAATCTGTCACTGGTCTTTCGTAGTCTTGGTGTCTTTTGAACAGTGAAATATTTAATTTTCACTGGCGTCCAAGTGTATCTGTTTTTCTTTACGGACCACGCTCAGATCACATTGACAGACTATGCCTAACCTGGGGGACATGAAGACATTCTCCCACAGTGTTTTCTAGAAGTTTTCATTAGGCTCCACGTTAGGGCCACAAACCACCCTGGACGAGTTTTAGCTGCTGCGCCGTTTGGCGCACTTTCCCACACAACCTCCAAATGCCCCAGCAGCGCTGGTTAAGAAGACCACCCTTTCTGCAGCTGCCAGAGGACCTCTGCTGACTTCCAGTCGTTCAAGTACGTGTGGGTCCGTTCCCAGGCAATTCTGTTCTGCACAGGCTTGTCTTGGTGACAGGACCACACTCCACTGATTACTTTGTTAGATGACTTAAGAGTTTGTAATTTTTTAAAGTTGTTTTCAAAATTCTAGGCCCTTTGCACTCATGAATTTTGTAATTAGCCTGTCAATTTCTACCAACTGTCCTCGGTACGTTACAAATGCTACAATACATTGTTGTTACTTCAGTTTTAAAAAAGTCAATTTTCTTCTAAAAAATTATTTAAAAGCTTTTACTGCAGTAAGAGCATAACACACGCCCCACCCTCTGGACACACCTCAGCTGGGGAACAGCACCGTGGCAGCAGGGACGCGGCAGACCGCAGAGCTCGGGGCGTGCGCTCGGGACCCCGGGCTCGCACTGCTGGCGGCGGGGAGGCTGCTATAGGTCTTACTTCTAATTCTCTTTATAACGAGACATTCTGTTTTCAGGATTTGTTCTCCTCCAGTGATTTCGGGAATCTCATTGTCACAGGCCTTGGTGCAGTTTTCTTTGCATTTCCTGTCTGCTGAGCTTCCTGGGTTCGTAGGTTTATCATTTTCATCAAATTAGGACAACTTCTGCTCATTATTTGTTCTCATAGCCCCCCACTCCCCTCCTGGGACGCCAACCACATGTAGGGAGGCTGCCTGAAGCTATCCCACACATCACTGATGCTTTTTTTTTTTCAATACACTTTGTTTATTTTCTCAGCTTTTTAAAGAAATTCCTTTTATTCTGTCTTGCAGTTTCTACTGCTATGTCTTCAGATTCACTAATCTCTTCTGTAGTGTCTAGTCTGCTGTTAATTCTGGCACATTTTTCATCTCGGACCTCGAGTCTTCATCCCCTGAAGGCGAGCAGGTGACTTTGATGTCCTTCCTGTGCCGCGAAGAGGGCTCCCGCGTCCCTCTTCCTCTCGAGCACACAGAACACAGCCACAGTGACTTGAACGCCCCCATGTACTCATTCTGCCACTGCCAGTTTTCTGGGTTGGTTTCAGTTGCCTGCAATTTCTTATTATGGGCTGGGTTTTTCAGGTTGTTTCATTTTGGGATCAGATACCGGATGGAATGAATTTTATGCCCTGACGGGTGCTAGACACTGTCACGCTCCCGCAAGGGCTGCGCACTGTATGGGCTGTGGCTGCGGTGCGTGGAGCAGACGGGCGAGCGTCAGGGCCTTTACTCCTCGATCGGCCTCCGGACCCACGGGCAGCACCCCCGAGGGGCACAGCTGACGGCCAGGAATGAAGCCCCCAGCACCGAGGGAGCTCAGGGCCTCCTCTGCTCCTCAGGGGCTCCTTCCCTCACAAGTGTGACCAGACGAGGCCTCAGTTAAAGGCCCCAGGGCTCTCCCCCAGCTCTCTGCACCCAAACCTCTTCCATCCTGCCCTTGGACTGCCCAGGGTTCGGCAGACGCCTGCCCGCTCTGTGCTCCTGGCCTGGGAGCTCTGCAGGCGGTCGGCTGGGCGGTCAGTGGCTCTCCGCACCGGCTCCTCTCCCAGGAACCACTGTCCTACAGGAGCTGATGCTCAGCGTCTGAACCCGCTATTTTACGTATCTCGTGTGGTTTTCAGTGATTTAGGTGGAAGGGTAAGTCCAGTCCATGTAACGTCAGCTTGGTTGACGCACAGAATGACTGAGTTTATCTGCAACCTGGCTAATCCATGGAAAGAGGATGCTCTGCATTTAAAAGCATTGAGATGCACTGGCTCAGGAATGCAATCCCCTACACAGCAGCACTCCCTCACCTCAGGCAGCTGTCAGCACTCCACCCAGGAGATGCAGGCAGCAGGCGGACCGGCAGGGGGTGGGGTGGGGGGAGTACTCAGAGAGCTCTGTGGATGACACAGCACCCGTGTCCAGTGAAGACCCCTTTCCATTTTCAGGACAAAAGGATCAGATACAAATCACATGGCAGATGATTCTAATGAAAACCTTTTGCTGTTTCCTTTACAGAATTTTCTGTGTGCACGCATTATAAAGCTCTCATTTTTTTCATTTTTTGGGAGAGGGGCCATAAAATGGTCAAAGGAGTTCTAAATGTTAGATGTAGTAAAAAATATATATTTTTTATAAATTCAAAACATGCTCAAAAAAGCTAATTCCAACAGCACAGAATTATAGTTACAAGCTTGACCACAGCATGGGAGTTTTTCTTGTTAACAGAAACACAATGACAACAACGACGACGACCATGTCTCGTCGTGTACACGCTGCAGGCACTGCGCTGTGCACACAGGCGACACACTGCACCGTTTACGAAAGCTCCCCATCAGCAAGTTGCTGGGGGTGCGTGCCTTCCCACTTTTTCTGTAATCGTAAAAATGTGCCTGTCTGAGTGTGCACAAAACCACATAATTTAAAAACAAAACTGTAAGCTCACACACAAAAGATCAGTATCTTGCTTTTCCCCACTCAGTACACTGCAGCCACCGTGACACTGCGTGCAGCTGCATGTGACCTACATGCCACATCTGCACTGCACACGTTTTAGTGAGTTTTGCTTTACCCGTGACCCTGGTTTCTCCCGGGACCACGCTCAATACACTTGTCTGCCGCCGATCAGCGGAGAGCTAATCTGTGATCTGGTTAAACACCGGAGCAGTACCTTGGAGGCGGGTGGGCCATCGGTCTGGGTGTCCTGTGCACGGTTCCAATCCCACATAACTTGGGGAGACTGCAAAATGATTTCTTCCGGAAACAACACTTGTAAACAAGGAAAGGTGAGAAGGCGGATGTTACTGTAGAGTCTAAGAATGACGTGCAGAGGCAGCGGCCTGCAGTGACCCGTGTCTACTGCTCCTCCCTCCTCGGCCCCTGTGCCATCTCAGCCACAGCACAAAGCCAGGACCATGTGCTCTGTGCAACAAAGCCATCATTTATTGGCTGTGAACACAGACACGAGTCATAGCAAGAGGAGACGGGCGGAGCGCGACGACTTCACTGTTAGTCAAGTAAGCATGCTGTTTCTGCACAGTTGCAACAGTCAAAGGACACTGACACTCCCTGTAGGAACACATGCTGGGTGTCAGGGTTCCTCTAGCGTGTGCCCAAAGAGACCGAGTCACACGCACTCTGCTGACACCTCTGAACACAGCCTGGAGATGTCGCACCACCATCCCACAAAGGTAATACCTTTTACACCCAAGTGGATGGCTTGTTCAAGTGCAAAGTGGCACCGTCTGCTGGTGGTCCTGCAGGAGAAAGGACACAAGTCACCTTCTGGAGTCTGGAGACTTGAAGCTTCACGAAACTCACCCAGAGACCAGCCTGGAGGCAGCACCAGGGGGACTGTAGGCCATGGGCCATCAGCAGGACACCAGGAGTTTTATAGCAAAACTTTAAACAGTGTCAGGACAGCAGGGACACCTTCCTTTCTGGAAATATTTCTGTTGTAACGTATAAAGTGGACAAGCAGGGAAAACAGAAAATTCAAACTGTGAAGGGACAGGGAAACATTACCAGTGCTGCGTCAGCAGGGGAGTAACTCTGACGGGAGGGACTCACTCAGAACGCCTGGTGAAAGACTGCAGCCTGGGGGACCTTCAGGAGCTCACTAGGGCAAGGCTGACCCCGATCGGGCAGCAGAAGCACAGGAGGGGCTCGGAGCTGCGGCTCGGACGTGAGGGCAGAGGTGAGCAGGGACAAGGAGCTTATTCAGGCAAAGAAGCGGCTTGGTTACAGCGCAGTCACCTTCCTGTTGGGATGGCACTGCTCCACCAGGCAGATGACCTCCCAGTACCGACCAGGAGGCTCCTGCCTGGCTGGTCTAAGACTCTGTTTCTGGAGCAGCCGAGACTTCAGTTCAGCTGAGTCTCGGTTTGGTGACATGGGGCCCAGCACGAGCCAGCAAACAGGGAGACCCTCAACCTCAGAAGCAGCGAGACACATACGTCCAGCCCACCGTGAGCTGCGCCACACTCAGCAGGCCGGCACGAAGCCAGAAGTTCACCCTACGGAGCGGCCGGCCATTACCGATGCTCACACTGGAACATGCTTCTGTCACCAGTGCAAAGCTGAAACATGGCCATTCCCCAAATCGCTGCCCACTCCTCGTGCACAGCCGAGAAAGCAAGGAGGGTCGGGGTGTGTGCGTGAAGGAGACGGGAGTCCACCGCAGCAGCCAGCAACTACCAAGGAGAGGACGGCACACAAGTTCCCCAACAGGAGAGGAGACATGGTGTGCTTCACACACCCCGTAGGGAGTTTAGCGCAGGAACAGGGACAGGTGTCAGGTGGTGGGGTCCCTGCGCTCCTGATGTGACAGAGGATGAGTGACCAGACGAAGGAGGGAGTGGACTGACGATGACAGCACGTGAGGAACCAAAGATCCGTGTACTCAAGGTCCCAGGAAGAATAAACATGCAAACATGTGTGTCTTTATGCCTGGAAGGAAAGCTGTGGTCCGGGCGGCGCAGCAGCCTGCACCGCCACTCGCATGGCGAGGGCCGAAGCGGAGAGGACCTGCCTGCCCGGGAGGAGGAGTCTCTAAAAGCATTACCTGTTATACGTAAATTCCACGTCCATAGGCTCAAAGTTATATGCTTGTTCAAATTCTGGATTAAATTTAAGAGTTACATCTTCCTCATGAATCTGAAAAAAACAAAGTATTTACTTTACAGACTTTATACCCGGTTTCTTGGAACAGTCTTCTACCCATACTCTGCAACGCACCATCAACGCTCATTCCACAGATCTGAGCTAAAGTCTGGTGTGTTCAGTGTGGGAGAAATAGAAAGGGTGGCGTCACCGTGCGGCTACACTGCGCTTGTCTCTCGAGGCAGTGGGACGCCTCTCCGCTCCCCTCGGGTAGGTGAACAGACCTCTCCTCTCCTGGTAACTATTTATGCCTCTGTCCTCCGTGGAGAACTACCCACACCCCCGGTACTGTCCAGCCGCCCCAGCGAGGGCGACGCTCAGCCAGACGCGGGGACGACCGGCTCAGCTCCTGGCCGCCAGGAGGAGGTGGGTCTGTGGGCAGAGCTGCAGCAGACAGCAGACGGGGCCACAGAGGCCAGGGTGCCTCCACCCTGTCCCAGGCTGGTTCTTGCACCCCCTCCTCCCTCTCCAGAGCCAGGGCTTGGGCAGCTCTGATTTCTCCGTAGTGAGTGCGTGGCATGGTGGTTCCTCCGCCTGGACCGGCCTCCATCCCCGTGTGGCGCGCCGTGGAGAGCAGGCAGGACCAGCTGGAGGAGCACAGACCACACTCAGGCGTGGGGGTGGCAGGTTACACCAGCACGACCTTCCCCGATGCCTACGTGCAGGCTGCCTTCCGAGGCTCCCTCTCCTGGACTGTGTTCAGACGCCCGCCTCGCCTCTGACTAAACACACACCGACGTGCAAACATCATGACCTACTTGTGGTAACTTTAAAGGTGAGTGTGTTTTACGTGACTGAAACAACGGGATTTCTTTACAAAATTCTCTTCATGCATCAGATTTATCGAAATGTTCCCTTTACCCTGAATTTCCCAAAATGCCATCCGCCCCAAGGGCCTGCGGCAGGAGGTCCTCGTGGCGAGCGAGCGGGTCTTACCTCGATCACGTAGCCAATGTACTCGATGATGTGTCCGTTGTACTCCTGAGTTTTTAAAATCAGTCTGTCACCTAGTTAAAAGACATTACTCATGTAAAACGACAAGACTGTGACATCACGCAGTCTGAAGAAGTGGAGCACAACAGACGCGTTACTGGGGCCGCTGCGCGGGGTCCGTCAGCGCGGGGAATGCTGGCTGCGCCGGGGCCGCGCCCTGGCCTTCAGGGAGACCACACATGGCCCGGGGCTGGGCGGCAGGGCTGGCGCTGCCAGTTAAACGTGCTCCTTCCGACTGGCCCAGCGTCTGTGAGGCCACCCAGCAACATGCGGCCCCTGAGCAGCGCACCTGCATACACGGAGGGCCTGCTCTCAGCCAGCCCGGGGACCTCCAGAACCAGGAAGTCCCCGTTCCTTCTCAGGGTGACCCCAGTCATGTTGTACTCTTTCAGCTCTATCTCCGCGTGAATCTCCTCCAGCCACAGCAAAGTTGAAAACTTCTCCTTGTAGTTGGACATATTCAAAAGCTGAAAAAGAACCCAGCACGCTAGCGACAGCAGGGTGACACCTCTCTCTTTCACACACACACTGGCATGTCAGGACGTCGGCGGCCCTGGAGCCATCGGTCTGCCAGACCGATGTAACGACGGCCTTCCACGCTGACCACCAGGTGGCGTGGGAAGCCAGCCTGAGATGGGGACCCATCTAAGTGAGCTCGCAGCCACCCAGCTGCCCCCAACAGAGCCCCCAAGCTGCACACAGAGAGAGCGCGGGGGGTGGGGCTGGGGACTGAGGGCCAGGAAGGGGGGCAGCAGAGCTTCCCAGCGTCCCCTCTGAGCCGCCAACTGAGCGCTGATCCACGTGCAAACACAAGGAACTCTGTCGGCCAGCTGTGGGAGAGCATCCCGGGAAGGGGCGAGGGCAGGGCCCCTAGATGGACACTCCCCGAGGCCGCTGTCCCAGGCACTGCATGGTGTTTAGCAGCACTCCTGGCCTCCCTGCTCCAGAGGTTGTTAGCACCCTCAGCCGTGACAACTGAAAACGTCTCCCGGGGGGAGTGCCACCTGCTGAGAACCACTGGATCACAGAGGACAGCCCTCAGACCCACAGGCCTGAGAGCAGCGCAGGCCCACTGGCCCGAATGGAAAGGCCTAGAGTAAAGGGGCGCTCAGCACGCAGCAGCTCTAACCTAACAGCCACTCTGGTCTCACCTCACAAAGCCTTAAAGCCAGCTTTGAACGTATCTGTTTCCAAGTAATTTAACTGCATCCAAAACAAAATTCAAAAACTCAAAAACATTTTCAGGAAGAGAAAAACATGCAACACCCAACAGGGTAAAATGCAGGACGTCCGGCATCTAAACAGAGATGACCAGGCATGGAAATAAGCAGAAACCACAACCCATGAGGGGAGAAAGCGACCAGCAGAAACAGGACCGAAGGGGACCCTGTGATGGAAGCCGCACACGAGGACAGCATCTGTGGTACGCGCAGCGTGAAGGCTGAGGAAAGACCACGCATGTCAAGCAGAGACACAGAAGCCTCCCCGCGGTCCAGGCAGCGTCACTCCCTGGCGTGGCAGAGGGCCCCACGCCTCCCAGGCAGGCACGCTCTGTGGGTTCAGGGCAAGACACCCCCTGCCCCAGCTTCCCTCCAGACCCTCTTCCTCTCCTCCTGATGCCCCATCTCTCCACACTCGAGGGGCCCCCATCCTTCACAAGTCTCCTCCCGCCACTTCCCAGTCTCTTCCCTCCCTCTCACCCTGACGCCACACAGGCCCGGGCCCTCGTTCTGCTCAGCCAAGCCTCAGCCCATGGACCCCAAAAGCCTCCAGAAAATGCCCCCCACCCTCAAGAAGGGGCAGCGAGCTCCTCACCGCCAACGAGACAGACCCTTTCCCTTCCCGGACCCTGTGTGGATGTGCCCCCTCCAGCAGTCCCCTCCCCCTCCTGGCTCCAGCCTCCACCTGAAACAGCAGGCAGGCTCCCTCAGCTCGTCACAACAGGCCTGAGAAGAGAGGAGCAACAGTGTAGCCGGGCAGGGGGCGGGCAAGATGGTCCCGGCAAAGGCGGCCACGTGAGGCCTCCTTCCTTCTTTGATCGTCGGCCTGCACAGCCGCAGGCCCCCTCTCAGCGGCTCAGAGTTGCTCGGCCACAGGTCTGGGAGATGCGCTGGGCTGGCGGCACAGGGCTTCCCTCCTCCTCTTCGCCCCGCCCCAACCCCAGAACCCGGGGGTGAGGAGGGCACCACCTCTGGAGGAGCACCAGTTTCCGCACCAGACACTCTCCTACCTCAGCCAGCAGCGGCTGGAAGGTCAGGATGTCGATTTTCTGTTCCACACACCTTTTCAGTCTGTCTGGAATAGGATACTGTGGGAGAAAACTTGGAAGCTGTCGTCTTGAGTTCCTTAAAAAGAAAATCACACATTAAAAACAATCTGTAATCACCAGGCATTTGATACCAGACGTTTTCACCTAAACATCCTTCCCTATTTTAGAAAGACTGACGTTCAGCCACCAGAACAGCTGCGATGTGAGCCGCGGGCCCCCGCCCGTGGGCTGCAGAGTGGGACTCAGCTCTGGGGCCTGCTTGCCCTGCCCGGCGTCTCCGTGAGCAGGAGAGCAGAGCTGCTTTGCCTGCAACAGGACAACGGGGCTGAGCGCCCCAGGAACCGACCTCCGGGGACCTGTGAGCTTGAAAACACTGTTTCTAAACTTCCAATGAGCTCAACTCTTACTACTGTTTTTCCTTCCAGTTTGACTGAGACGTGACCGACACACAGTACGATGCAAGTTGAAGGCGCGTAGCATTGTGGTCTGACTTGCGCACGTCATGAGATGACAGCCACAGCAGGGCTGGTGAGCCGTCATCTCACCAGGTGCGTCACTGAAGAGAGGAAAAGTGCTCTTCCCTGTGATGCGAGCTCCCAGGACTCTCTCTGGGCAGCCCTCCCAAGTGACACCCAGCAGCACTATAGTTACACCCGTCCTGCTGCTCATCACACCCCAGTACTCACCTGTCCTACAACTGGAACTTTGTGCCTTTTGACCCCCTTCATCCAATTCCCCCTCCCCCATCCCGGGTGACTGCAAATCTGATCCCTTTTTCTCGGAATCTGTGTGTGAAGTATAACTGACCTTCAACAGGATGTGAGTTCCTGTTAAACAACACAGGGACTGGCTATTTCTCTGCATTTCAGAACGATCACAATGTCTTGTCACAATCTGTCCCCACACAGACATCACAGCTGCTGACCGCACACAGCTATCCACCCACCGTGCGGTCAAGCTGCTGATCCCAAGTTCAAGCACACGTCAACAGCCCCGCAGTTTTTACTCTCCTTCCTCACGATGACTGTTTTGTGGTAATTCCTTATTCTACATCCTCTTGTTTTGTGCATCCTGTAGCTGCTGGCTATGGACACAGACGACTACCACTTCCGTCTTCTAATCTCAGCACCGGCTCTGCACATGCTGGCTCTAGTGCTTTCACTGTGTGCTCGCCTCTACCAGTCAGCTCTTCCCGTTTGTAATTTCCATGTTTCTAGTTACGGCCTTCTCCCCACTTAGAGATGCTCTTCTAACATTTCTTGTAAAGCTGGCTGGGTGGTAAGGAACTTTTACCTCCCGCTTGGCTGTGAAACTCCAGACCTCGCCATCAGTCCAAATGCACCCTCCCAGGTGGGGTACCCTCGGCTGCAGGTTCCCCTTCATCACGCTGAATGAAGGCATCGTGCCGTCCCTTCCGGGCTGCAGTGTGTCTGCTGGAGAGTCAGCCGTAACCTCACGGGTGCTCCTTCGTTTGTAGCTCGCTGCTTTTAACACTATCTTTACTTTTGCCATTTTAATCATAGCGTGCCTTGGTGTGGGCCGCTCTGGGTTGACTCCGTGTGGGACTTTGCGCCGCATGGACCCGTGTGACTGTCCCCTCCCCAGGGAAGGGAAGGCACATGTGCTCTCTGGCCCTTTCCCTCCCTCCTCCTTCTGGGAACTTACAGTGCGAGTGCTGGTACACTGATGTGCCTGAGGTCCCTTACACTGTCTTCACTTCTTTTCAGTCCTTTTTCTGTTCAGCACCGGTGATTTCCGCTACCCTGTCTTCCAGCTGCCTCATCCCTCTGCGCCGCTGACTCTACCGCTGATCCCTTCTAGCACGTTGTTCATTTCAGCGCCTGTGTCTTCGTGTCTGTTTAGTTCTTCTTTACACTTTTTAACGCTGTTAAAAACTTCCCATTTCTCATTGTATCCACCCATTCTCCTGAGTTCTTTGGTCTTTATGGCCATTGCTTTGAACTCTTTCTCAGGTAGACTGCCTGCCTCCACTCCACTCAGTGAGTGCTTCTGGGGTTTTACCTTGTTCCTTCATTTGCAACATGTTTCTCTGTCACCTCCTTTTTGCCACTCTTTTGCTGGGTTGTATTTCTTTGTATCTGGTAGGTTCCTTATAGTTCCTGATCTTGGAGAAGTGGCTTTTTGTAGGCACCCTCTGGGCTGCAGTGTGCACCCCGCTCTGAGTACCAGAGCTCTATGCCGTGCGGGCTGCGTGGGTGGTCTCGTAGGCGTGGCTGGCCCCTGGTCTGGTTAGTTGCCAGGTCCTGTCTTGTGTGGAGGCTGCTGGCCATGCGGGTGGGGCCGGTCACAGGCTGCTGGCTATGGGGCCCCAGGGCTGGTGCGGGCCTGCTGGGGGGTGGGCTGCAGGGCCCCGGCGGTTCCGGGACTAGTGCTGGTACACTGGTGGAGAGGCCTGGGTCCTGGGGAAGCTGTGGGCTCAGGTCTTGAGGCAGCCTGTCTGCTGATGGGGCTGAGCAGGTACAGACACTGGATGCCAAGCCAAGGAGGACAGGCACTCTGGGTCACTGTTCTGACAGCGGGAAACAAATGTCCTGTTTCATGGATGTTTCCGTATGGTAACGATGTATTAACATTCAAAGGGAAGTAACTAACTAGAGAATTAAAACACCTGTGCTCTTGGCTTATTTCACTCCTCCAGTAAAGCCAAAGTAGAACAAGAAGGCTGCTTGGTGCACCACTAAGTGACAGCCAGAGGTTCGTAAAAGCTCCCGTAACTGGAGCCCAACCACCTGGACCCTGCTGCCCGCAGGCCGCAGCGGCCTCTTGCTCCCATGTTCCAGGTTCCAGCCCTAGGACACGTCTGACCACTGTTCACATGACCAACGATTGATACTATCGACTGGTCACTACTGACCACCTGTGCCAGAAACCACACATTTAATCTTCACAGCCACACGGGGGGGTGGTGGCTACCACTTTACAAATGAGACTAAAGCTCAGAGGGACTGAGGAACTGGCCGAAGTCACACAGCTTCCCATCCGCAGTGCTGGGATTCAAACAACAGTTCAACCCCAAGGTTAACAGCCACACAATACTCGGCTGAGAGAGTCTTCCTCCAGCCCACAAATCAGCACCAGTCATAGTACCTTATCTTCATTTGCTTCTGGGTAAGGTGTGACCTGAAATCCGGGACTTTCCACTGTTGGAGAAGTGGCACACATCACCCCAGGGGGTTCTGGGCAGCGCTCAAGCCATCAGTTACAGCCTGAGGGTAAGTGTCCACAAGACACAGGGTGCTATCACCAAACATCCCCTCAGCCCCAGAGATCAGAGTTTTTGGTAAGCTTAAAAAAACAAAATCTGCTGTTCAGAGTTTGGGTTTCATAGCTGCAGACAAGAAAATATGGACATGCCACACATTCTCCAGACCACACCCCAGTTAAAGGCCGGGTCATCCCCAAGCCCCCAGCCATACGTTACTAGCAGATTTTTTCCTTCTTAATTTCATTTTTCAAAGACGCTACATCTTCAAATGGACTTCAAGCAGCCAAGCTTGTTGAGTTAGCGCTCAACAAGCTAACTCAGGTGCTGTGAATGGCTCGCAGTCACACCAGCCATGTCTCACTGACCCCTGCAGATCGACGCCTCCGGGTGCCCATGTGGGACACAGGACGTCTCGGGAGACGGGCTGGCTGGGCTGTGGGAACATGAGAGGTGGCAGGAGCTGAAGGCAAGTGTCAAATGGCATCCTGCTGTGGGAGATCACCCCGAGACTAGGGGGCGCTGCAGTCCTCTCCACAGTGCCTGTCCCCCACCCTCTCCTCCCAGCGCAACCCCAGAACAATGGTGGAACAGGGGATGCCCATTTCCCTCCAACAGCAAAGCAGCCACACAGATCCCTCACACTGCTAGCCCGAGCGCCGGCTGGCCTGTCCCCTCCGCCCACGGTACCTTTTCTGCGTGGTCACAACAACTGTAGTTTTTGTAGAAACTAATGCTTGGGAACTTTTTGACTTTTTCCATGAAAACGGTTCTCGGACCGCTATCAATGACTCCTCCTCACTCACGACGGTCACTTCAAGGAATCGCCCGATTATGAAATTGGAGAAGCAAAGCAGAAGGAGCTCCTTGCAGCGGCCGGAGTTCCTGGACAAACCAAACATGGTTGTCACCAATAAGACAGGCGGGTCCCACACACTCCCCTTCACTCACATGAGGACAATCACACAGCTATCGAACCACTGTCCTCCTTAGCTTTTGATAATCTTCTCAGGGAAAAAGGGGACGTAAGCAATGTAACATTTTCCCAAGATAAAAATCAAGCACCTAAAATGGTCTTCTCTGTAATTCTCAGACTTAAGAACAGGAAAAACATTTCCAGTATTCCCCAGTTTAAATCAGAATTGTGTCATGTGACCAAGAAGACACGACTTTCACTCTGCCTCCTGCCCAGTTTCTGCTGTTGCCAGGGTCCCAGCTCCACTGCACATCCGGCACTCGGCCTCCTCACCGCCCCCTGCACCATCACTGTCACTGCCACGGGTTACAGACGGCCTACAGGAGCTGTGTCACAAGCCGCTGACGCAGGACTGCCCTGCGCTCACGGATCACCACTGGCCTGAGGCAAGGCGCGGATCTAACCAGACCCACTGTCTGACGAGTTGAGGACGAGCAGGTGCACGTGAGATGAGGGAGGGACTAAGGGCTGCAGCCCGAGTGCTCGCTGAAGGGGGACCACCAGGCCGGGAGCCTGGACACAGGGAGGAGGCCGAAGAGAGGAAGGACCCGCAAGGGCTCGGGATCCCGTGTTTTGCCTGGCTGCTCAGGTGGAGGCAGAGGGAGGGGCAAGAAGGTCTCGGGCCGAGCCAAGGGAGCAGAAGGGCTGGGGGAGCCCTGCCTGTACCATCCTCCCGGCCAGTCCGGAGTCCAGGCAGGGCAGCAGGGCCTTGATGTGCACGCACACTCAAGCCACCATCTCCAGCAATGCTTTTTCTTACAGTTTCGGCCCATCAAAATAGTTATGAATACTTTTTGTAACGTTCAACCTAGAACACCACACATGAAACCTAAAAAGACAAGTGTCCAGCTGTCCCCACAGTAAAGTCCCTCCACATCCTCCAGCCACGTACTTCGCTTCACATATGATCACAATCAGGGTTTGTCCGCCTGGAGGGATGAGCCTGCCGGGCTCAGGCTCTGTCACCTGTTTCCTTGATGCACACTTTTCCTTTTCTCCGCTTCCTCCTTTACAGGCACAGTCATCTGGGAGATGAAATTTAAATCTAAAATTAGACCAAAGGTGAACATGTTCCCTTTCCCAGGGGTGGCAGGCTGGTGGACATAAGCATCACACAGAGACCGCCACACATACAGACACAAAACCACAGACGGTGGATGGCCAAAGAGTAAGGGGACAGTAGGCAGCCCCTCCCCAGTCTGGAATCATTCCTGGGAAGCGCTCGTCTGAAGCACTTCCGGTGTTTCTCAAGCTGTTTTACCCCGGGTATCAGAGAAGGGTCCAGATCAAAGGGACCGCAGCGAAATTACTGCCACTCGCCTGCCCAGGGCCCCAGAGAGCAGCTGCACCGGCGCCCGACCTGCCAGGCTCCAGAGGCTGATGTCACAGAAACAGTGAAGCGTCTACCTGGAGAGACTGCTCTGCTGTTCCCCAAGCTGCTCTCCAATGTCTGACAGGTGTCAGTTTTTCTGCAGCTGTCTAATGAGTTAATAGTTTCATCTGAAAAATTCTTCTCCTCCTCAGGAAGAGAAACAAGAGACACCACGGAGCACCTCTGAGTTTTATCCAGCATCTGAAATCGGAACTGTTTAGCTTTGTCCCAGCCAGCCAGTTTGCAACAGACTAAGTACTGAGGAACGTCTCCTTTATTCCTGGAAAAAGAGAATTAGTTGTGAACACAGATTTCTAAAGCTAAAATATTCAGTTACTATAAAACTCAGAATTCAATCTAATTAGTGAAAGGCAACGACAAATACTTTTATGAGTACAAGTTAAAAGGGTATTTCAGGGTGGAAAACCTAAATAGATACATGTAGGAAAAGTAAAGTTGATCCTATAGAAATTCTTAAATTACAGTTTAAAACCCATGTAAACTAATGAGCAATTTTATTTGAGTGGCAAACTTACTCTATACAGATCACCATACTTTTACATCCTCCTTCTTTCATTGTTCCAAAATTTGTCATCCTTGTGACCTCGACGTCACCTTTGTTTTGTAAAAGGGCTCCACAGGCCTCCCCGGCGGCCTCCTCGGGGGTGGAGAAGTCCCTGGAGGGAGCGTAGCAGTGTCAGGCTGCGCGTCTGAGGCGCCGCCAGCCTCCCCCCTCAGGCTGGAGACAAGGAGCCAAGTCCCAGAGAGGTGACCATGGAGCGACAACACTCAGAACCCGGGACCAGAAGGGGAGGGACACAGTGGTGACACCGGGGACCAGGGGGCCTGATGCTGGGCTCCACCAGCTGCAGGTTCTCCAGATGCCCCGGGGCCCGTTGTGCCACCGTCCTCTTCCCCGTCCCTCCCAGGCTGCTGGGGGTGGGGGGTGTTCATCAGGGACCCACTGCTAAGCTTTCATTTGGAAAGAGTTGTTGCTACAAAGTATTTGAAAACAATTAAATGAGAACTTTTCTCTTCAGAAAATGAGGTGATTCCACCCTCCATGGAGAAGCCCCTCTACCTTCCTGATGGTACCGCTGAGCTCACCCCACCGCCCCCCGGTGCTCCCCACCTCCCAAACCCGGGCTGCAGCCCCACTCAGAAACTAGCTGCTGTCCACACACACACAGCGACTCCTCGACCACACAAGTGACCCCTTCGCAGTCAGCTCCCTGCAAGTCCCTGCTGTCACACACACGGCCCTCCCACTCCCGCTCCCCCCCCGCCTTCTCCGTCCACCACGTGCGCCGGCGCCTCTCCAGCCCGGCAGCCCCAGGCCTGGTGGCCCTTCTGCAGACACTGATCACAGCCAAGAACGGAGGCTCATTCACCCCTTGCATTGTGGGGCACTTCCTGCCACTCTGCTCCCGGCAGAACCACACACACCCCCGTGGCTTGGGGACGCGGCCAGGCACTCGGTAGGTGCGACCCAGAACTCACTCTGTTGAGGAGATCAGCTCAAAAACAGAACAATCTGAAAACCGTGTAACAAGCTCACTGGAGATAAGGGCCAAGGGGGAAAAGCAGGCAGAGAAGGGAGCGGGAGGCTGGGCAGGGCTGCCGCTTAGCCCCAGAGCACGGGGGCGGGAGGGGGCACAGGAGAGGAGACAGCAAATTCAGCACCTACCGTGCGGTGTGTTCTAACAAATGCCAGCGGGGGAAGGAGTAGCAGCATAAACCCACCAAAGTACGAAGATCATCACCATGAGATTAAGGAACGAGGCAACTTTTAACTCGGCCTTCACTTAGCCACGAAGACCACACACAGCCCGCCATTACTCTGTTTTACGACATGCAGCCCCGGATCCGCCCAGCCCTGCCCAGCCAGTCTCCTCACCGCCTGTGCACGGGCGTTAGGCACAGCGCCCGCCACACGTAGCACGACTGGCTGCTCTCCACCACCACTGCACTGACCACGTCGTGTCTCCGAGGCACATATCCTTCCGGAAGTTTTAGGGAGTCCAAGGTAAAAAAGATGCAGTCGTCAATCACCCCGTTTCTTCCACAGAGGCTAGACACACAGACCTGTCGGCACGGTGCCCAGGAGCCAGTTACCACATGTGGATGGGGCCCACCGGAACCGATGCCTGCTGAGCTGGCCCACAGCACTGGGTCCCAGGGGCAGGGGGGGACCTCAGGCTGTGCACACCTCCCCTTTCCCGCAGACTCAATCCCCTCCTCTCCTGGCCCCTCTCCTGGCCCCACTCCCGGCCCTTCTCCTGGCCCACAGTAGTGGTGACAGCAGGCTCAGAGCCTGCGTCTCCCTGCACTCGCTCCCAACACCCAGGGCATCGTGACACCTGTGTAGACCTCTGTCACCCAGAGCTGTACTATGCGCCTCCCCACAGGGAGGCAGCACTCTCAGTAAGAGGACAGGGTCTCCTCCAGCTGAGATGGAACCTCAGTTCTCCTGACTTCCTAGCACACCCAGGAGAACCAGGGATGAGGGGGGTTGGCACCTACCCTGTCCACGCGCTTGTACCTCAGCGGCTTCACCGATACGGCCTCGCTGCTCCATGTGCCCGGCCGGATCCAGTACTCGGCCTCCACCCAGTCTCCCTTGCAGGGCTCAAAACCTCCAAGGCAGGGAAACCAGGCTGAGTTACTTGGTAATGTTGTAACCTCAAAATGTGCAGTTCACTACGAAGTTATACTGTGCCGACATACATGTGAACAGTTAAGGAAGGAGCTCTCTGTTCCCGCCTGTCAGAAACCAGCTTATCAACCTAATTCTCTTCTCCATTTACCCTGCTCAGAGAGAGCAGAGGCTATTAAAGACCAACCTTTGCACAGCCTGACCCTCCAGCCCACAAGGTGAGGGCAGGGTCCTCAGAGAGGTCTCAGGTTAGGCCTGGATACACCTGGTTCCAACAGAGTCTCAGGATCCCATTTGGGTTCAATCCTCCCCATGCTTTTCATTAAAACAAACAAACAAACAAACACAGCAACAAAGTATTATGAACAACTGCAACCTCCCCTCTATCAACTTCCCTCCTCCAGTCTAGGGGGAGAAGGGGTGCCCTGCTTCCATGTCAGCTTCTTCCAGCCATGGAGAGAGTCCCCCGCCCCATCAGGGACACGCAGGGTTGCCTGGGCGGGAACACTAGGAACCTGCAGGCTGGGTGAGGTGAAGTGGCTGAGCAGTCCTGACACCAACAGGGAGAGTGTGGCCTGAACAGGTGGGCTGTAGTACCTACTGTAAAGCTATAACTAGTTACAACCTTTTTGTTATTTTACAATAAACATTCCTGGTAGCAACAAGCCCAAAAATCAAATGTGCATAATTAAATACTGAGTTTGCTTCTCAGGAGAGCTGGTGATGAGCACACAACAGCCCATAACACCCGCGGCGTCCACTGCTGTGCACAGGCCACACTGGCACCACTGCAGGGCAGAGCCAGGAGATAGGCCTCTGGAAGCGCTGGCTGCAAGGTCAGTCCGTGTGCTCGGAGGACATGCCCAGAGCACAACTCAACAAGCCCTCAAGGTGCATTAACATGTCGTGTAAACCATGGCTTCATTTACCAGGTAACTGTCTGACACAATTTTGCTAATCTTTTATTCTAAACCCTCCCAGACACACATAAGAAGTGAAGCAATATTTAATGCAATCCCTATCAAATTACCCAGGACATAGTTCACAGAACTAGAACAAATCATAATAAAATTCATACGGAATCACAAAAGACCTAGAATTGCCAAAGCATTACTGAAGAAAAAGAAAGAGGCTGGAGGAATAACTCTCCAAGGCTTCAGACAATACTACAGAGCTACAGCCATCAAGACAGCATGGTATTGGTACAAAAACAGACATACAGACCAATGGAACAGAACAAAGAGCCCAGAAATGAACCCACAAACTTTTGGTCTACTAATCTACAAGAATATACAATGGAATAAAGACAGTCTCTTCAGCAAATGGTGTTGGGAAAACTGGACAGCAGCATGTAAAACAATGAAGCGAGAACACTCCCTTACACCACACACAAAAATAAACTCAAAATGGATCAAAGACTTAAACATAAGACAAGATACAATAAACCTCCTAGAGGAAAACATAGGCAAAACATTATCTGACATACATCTCAAAAATTTTCTATAAGAAATAAAAGCAAGAATAAACAAATGGGACCTAATGAAACTTACGAGCTTCTGCACAGCTAAGGAAATCATAAGTAAAACAAAACGACAACCTACGGAATGGGAGAAAATTTTTGCACATGAAACCAACAAAGGCTTGATCTCAGGAATATATAAGCAGCTCATATGACTTAATAAGAAAAAAACAAACAACCCAATACAAAAATGGGCAGAAGACCTAAACAAGCAATTCTGCAAGGAAGAAATACAAATGATCAATAGGCACATGAAAGAATGCTCAATATCACTAATTATCAGAGAAATGCAAATCAAAACTATGATGACGGATCACCTCACACCAGTCAGAATGGCCATCATTCAAAAATCCACAAGTGACAAATGCTGG